TAAGACATGAAATGTTATACAGTTCAAAGTGAGGCGAGTAGGATTTCTCTGTTTATTTCTGTTTTTCACACATCAATCAAACGCTCGAGCTTATTGTAGAGAAACACAGTGCTATGTTGACATCTGCTGGCCAAATTTTTATAAACTTGAAAAACTTTGTCAATACATTCTATTCCTGATGAAATGAGTTTTATTATATACAGTGTACACTTGAACATACGGCACCAAAGGTCTTCAGGTTGTTTATAACGGAATCAAGTTCTATTTTGTACTAACCCAATGCTCTGTTTGAACACTAATATCATATTACAGTTGTTTTTGTGTTTAGTGAACACTTTATAAAAAATTAAATTATCACCGAAAAATAAAAAATAAAAAGGAGCTCTCCAAAATGCACCAGAACATGTCTTATCAATAATGCAGGCCCATTTTGACTCTTTGGAAAGGTTTCAACTAGACAATCCCCTCAAGTTCCAAATGATTACAGATTGTATGACAAAACCTCAAAACAAATTGATTTTCCTGCAAGGGAGATATCTACAGTCATTCATCACAGTTGGGAACGGCATTTTAGAAAAGATAAGGAGATTTTATTGTTTTGTTTCGGCTGTATTCATCAGGTATCCTTAGTAGGGAGAGTTAACAGTGTTACACAATGTTGGCAGTTTTAAATGTTCCGTTTATTATTTTGAAAGATTGCTCATAGGAAAATATGCCGGTCTGGTATTCTGTTCAGTGTGCATGCAAGTTGTGAGTCAGAAGCTCGCCCGCAGAATAGAAAACGACAAATTTGATTTAATGAGCCAACATAACATTGTTAATGCATGCACCGATATTGTTACGTATTCAACTCGTGCTTTTTCCGTTTCAAAATTATGCTTTAAATTTTACTGGCTGTCGTTGGACAATACACTGCCTTATGTGCTTGGCTAGTTCTGCGGTTGTAACAATTGACAGAATTACACAACAGCTTCAATAATTCACCTGGTACATAACAACAGTGTATTGTGCTGAAGCGGTTCAACTCTCGGAAAGAACAAATGAATGTTGAGCCATTGAATTTGAGCTTTCAGTCACAAAGTTTTTAGTAATAAACTGTGTTGAAATATTGTAACACCAATGAAGAAATTGATAATTTTATATTTAGTGGGGTTTGAAGTATTAAACATTGTCTTCTTCACTCTTGTGTGTACTATCACAGAAACAAAATGGAAAGTTGAAAATATTTTTAATATAGAGAATGAAATTTGAATTTTTTAAATATTTTTGTAGGAGGTTAGAATTGAAAGTTTGTTGAAAATCTAATTGTTTATTTATTTTTGTTTACTAAATCACTTTTGTTAAGTGTACGTGACTTAGTACACACACAGAAAAGTGCCAAAATATTTCCCATACATTTGTTTGGTGTGGTTTGAACTTTCCCTACCCACTTAAGCCGGTGATAAATCTACTTGTTAAAAGATCCAGAAGAAAATGAAGATTGATATCTCGGCATACATCACAAATTATTGCAACAAGTCAAAATCTATTGGGACTCCGACTACATTTAGACATTTTGACAAATGTGGAACAGAATGTTTCTAAACCGATTTCATTACAGTCAAATAATGCCTACTGAATGTCTGTCAATCATTAATCATGGAACCTAGCAACCTTTCATCTGTGGTCAGTTCAACATAGAAACCCCAGGTAGCCATTGAGTGACCACTGAGCTGACCAATAGCTCCAGCCAATCGGTAACTAGAATAACCTATTACCCCTACTCTCAAATTTCATTTCGGAGATAAAGGTTCTACAGCGTTTTGACTTTGATTGATAGGGGCCAGATCCGTATCATTGGGGTGGGCCGCCGAGGTCATACCTATTTATAGCGTTGCAGGAGGGCATGTCCGGCACAGGTGTTAATTTTACAGGTATGAATGATAAAACAACCAGAAAATGATCATCATTTCCTTCCCACGATGACATGATGTGTATATGATGAACGGTTGACGTTTAAATCATTTGGGATAATATTTCATTGGACAGACCAGAATTGTGTATTGTTTAGAGCTGATGTGGGTTAGTGGTAGCTATACATATGTCATGGAGCATTAGTCCGATATCTGATTCAAACCCTGCTCATTGAATTACAATATAAACTATCAAGGTTAACATTGTACTCTGTGACCTTCGACGATATCAATAATATTCTGGACCAGTTTTCAGCGTTATGATAATTAACAAAACTAAATATTATGTACATTAATAGGTATTGTAAACTTATTTGACATTTCAACTTGATCAGGAAAATGTATCAATTGTCAATTTGTTTAGCCTATGACCTGTAGATTTTACTTACACTAACCACCGAAGTCTTTCGCAAATGAGAAGGGGAAAGCCTTGCAAAGAGGATAATGATTTGTGTCAGAGTCTGGTGAAAGATTGATGTTGATTGGTGGATAGAGTCGAAAACCACATGTGGTTGTCTCCCCTTGGTAGATGAGTTGAGATAAGTGACCTATCCTACTTAGTGTGCCGATAGGTTGGCCATTAATCATAAAGCATCCACTTGACCTTTGAACTTGTACTTATTTAATGAGATTTTAACATTCTTGATTGATATTTCAGTTATGTTAAATGTATGATGTTTTGAAATGATAATTAAAATTTGGAAAAATAATCAAAAATAGCTTTTAATTAGTAAAATGTTTGCTAAAAATACTAAATTATAAATATAACTTATAACTTACAACCTTCAAAACGTGATATTCCTGTCAGTAAATATAACCAGTGGAAAGCTGAGATTCCTGTCAGTAAATATAACCAGTGGAAAGCTGATATTCCTCTCAGTAAATATAACCAGTGGAAAGCTGAGATGCAATACGGTTACATATAAAATACTTTTTGGATGAACAGTTGTTTCTGAATAAATGCATTGCGAGAAAACCTCTTTTCATGGTAGAATAATATATCTTCTGAAACAACCCCCAGCCTGTGTATTCAATTTAGTTAAAAGAATATTAGCTGAAATTGAGATAAATGTTATCACCATGGGTCAGCTGGTCTTGATAACATGTTCTTATTAAAACAAAGTTCTAAAAAAGGAAAAGTTAGATTTAGAGAGTATACCCTTTGCCTTATCACAATTAACACATTACTTTGGTTTTGAGAGTACACAAAGTCAGAGGTCAGGTCAGCGGGACCATTAAAGGTGACATTTTTTCTTTATTCAGAGAAGGAAGTTTGTTTGAACAGGAGGGAAAGTACTGTCGACTGTAATCTTACGTATCAAATTTCTTATGGAGCTCGCAATGCCTTCATGATAGACAAAACTTGTTTAAGAATCTTTCTTTTTGGGGGAGAGCGTCTTGATTGGATTTGCACTTTTGTTCTTGAAAAGAAAATTACTGCTGCAGTTTGCACATCAGACATTGAAATGCATCACTGTAATTTAATTGTTTTTCCACGTCGATAAATTCTGTGTTCTAACTTTAAACCGCCTCACATTGGGTTACAGCCAAACAGACATAAATGTCTGTTTGTGTTAACTGTGTGGACTTCATAGGAACAGTGTTGAACTCACAAATCTCCTTAATTACCTTTCTGTGATTTTTACCTCCTCCCAGAAGAGTTCTACTCCAAATAACATGATCCTTTAGGATTGCTAATGTGGTCATGCTAATTTAACATGATCCTTTATGATTGCTGATGTGGTCATGCTAATCTAACATGATCCGGTATGATTGCTAATGTGGTCATGCTAATTTAACATGATCCTTTATGATTGCTAATGTGGTCATGCTTAATTTAACATGATCCTTTATGATTGCTAATGTGGTCATGCTTAATTAAATATGATCCTTTATGATTGCAAATGTGGTCATGCTTAATTAAATAATGACAAATTGTAAAATTTAACACAAGAATGCAGGCTTTGGTAATACTGATGCCATGCTAAATTAAAAGAGTAATGATCTGTAAAAGGGAGATAACTCTTTATCAAATCACAGGCATAATGTCTAAGATTGAATACACCCTTAAGTGATATGTACTACACATGGAATTTATGTTCATCCTCTTTGTTTTCTGTATTCGTTCCTTTGCGGATGACTCAGTAGAGGGGGAATTTATTCTTTCTTTCCCGAATCTTCTGTTGTAAAGTGCTAATTCCTGGTCAGAATCAAAAGCTAAACTTCCACCTTTACGTATAAAGTCAATGATAAAAACAGGAAAAGAGAATGTACAGTTTATAATTTGTTTTAACATTCACGCTTTACCAGGTAATACAATCAGTGGTATAACAACCATAATCCATAAGGGACGTTTTTTTTGCGGTGGTAGAACTTTGATGTGTAAATCGCCTGACGTGACAGATTTATGAGTCGGAGCCTCGTAGATCACAGTCTTGTGTGTGTTTCTTACTTTGAAGTCATGAGGTTTGTGAGCAAGTCAACCATATGGTTAGGAAATTTAGCTGGAAGAATCTTTGCCAAATTAAAAAGCTCTTCTCAGGAAAGGAAATACAAAATAGCAAGGCTTCTGTGTCATAACCATCCTAGTTTTTGTTTTCAGTTTTCATCAACTGTGATTGATGTTTTTGAAATCAGAAACAAACGTTTAGCATCATAACACGTCATCCCCAAGAACCTGCAATGAACTCTTCCACATAGAAATATGGATCAGTCTATTATGTACCTTTCATTTTGAGGTGTTGGTCATTTTTTCCTGAATATGATAAAAATTTACCAAACAAATTAGAATTGAGTGTTTCCACTGTCTTACAGACTTGTTACTATTCTTTCCTGTTCTACTTTGAATATGTCAGGTTTTTTAATTAAAGAGATAAAGCACATTTTGAAATTTGAAGTGATATCATGAGATGGCAATCGGGAACCAAACTGAAGTTTGTGCAGAAATAGCTCAGAAAAACATTCAACGATTTTAATGGTATTAATTGACATTAAAAATAGTGTTTTTGGTAAATAGAGAAGTTCCTATCAATGTCTTTGTCATTTCAGCTCCTAGTCAAGAAGCCGTTATCATTACCTCTAAAAACACGTTCACGACCGAGATTGGTGAGAATGTCACCTTGGAGTGTGTGGGCCTGGGGATGCCACAGCCCACGATCGTCTGGGAGGCGTATGGAGGCGAGTTGCCGTCCTCGCGCCACAAAATAGAAAAAGGTATGTATTTGTAAATATCACGATTAAACACTTGAAGTTAGAAAAGATACCAAAATATTAGTATCGTGTTTAAACAAGTAAATGTCCTTCAAACTTCAGGAAATGAGTAGAACACAAACACACAAGGGTATTGAGCATGTAAGGTCAAACCCAACAAAAACTCTTATCAAGTCAAGTAACAGTCTGGATGACTTTGTAGAGTAAATCTGTTTATCCCATCCTGATGGGGGCTGCTGCTGCTGCACCGCATTCAAATGCAGGAAAAGTTCCATAATAGTTAATGTATTGTAATTTAGATCTACAGGAATGCTAAACTAGAACCAATATGATATAATAGTTAATGTATTGTAATTTAGACCTAGTATGCAAAGTGATTGATTACCTCTAAAATAGGTATGTGTAAATTTAATTGTATTTAGGACATATTTTACTTAAAATTAAATTGTATCCACAAATATCATACATTAAATGTGATGTAAGGGAGGTAACTCCTACAAGAAAATGAGCCTGATTTTTAAAGCCAGGGAGTTGTACTGCTTGTTTGTACACCGAGCCAACTACCGTAGAAAAGCATATGTTCATATCAAATACATTTTAACAAAAAAAAATATCCAGAGAAGATATCTAAAAATAAATTTGGCGGATTTTCATGTCCTAATTAATCTTACCAACATGTTATGGTTTACTGTGTCAGATTAGAAAGATTCCCTGCTCTAGGTAATGATGTGGTTTTTGATGTTTACAGGACATCTATTTATATGGAATGTACAACACGAGGACATGGGGACGTACGCGTGTAAGGCCAGTAACGGGATAGGGATAGAGAAACACAAGGCGGTAATGCTGGAGGTCCTGGAACCTCCGAGGGTTCAGGCCGAGACACAGTTTATCACAATCAACCCCAGTGAGTCTGTCCGTCTACGGTGCGAGATCACGGGCTCGCCAGAGATGCAGGTGATTTGGTACCACAACGCTGTGCCCATGGGAAAAGTCCTGACGGCTAAAAATGGAGGTATGTTATAACCACATCTAGCTTACGTTATAATCTTAGGAATTCCAAGTCTTTATAGTGAGTCAAAGCCAAAACAGAAAAACTTCCCCAAAGCTATTATTGTGATGTTGCTTTCTTTCTGTTTAAATTTCTGGTTGAGCTTCAATGTAATGGTGAAAAATTGTATTAGTAATTAAATGGTGATATTTATCACAGAACCTTAATGTCGCTATTTTTACTTTACATAAGGATAGAGCTAGCACCAATGGTTATTACGTGGTATACTAGTGTAACAGGAAAGAGAAGTGTGCTTCCACTGGATTGCACCCGCGATCTACAGGTTTCTAGTCGGACACTCTACCTCTGAGATAAAGGGAAATCCCCTCTTGCTCGAAGCTAAAAGGCGACCTTAATCCTATGTACAATTAAAATCTGCCATACTAGTTATATATTTACTTTCAAATATTTGATGATTTTTTTACAAGTTCGAATTTCATGATGAATGATTGTCTCGTTTTGCCAGGTACAACCTACACCATCAAACACATCAAGCCAGAAGATGGCGGCCTCTACCAATGTATGTGTAGCAACGAAATCGGAGTAGCTTACTCCACCATCTACGTAGAGGTCAAAGGGCAATCCGAACCTAGCACTGACGGAGATGACGAGGATGATACGGCAGTGTCTCCCTCAGACTCGGATGCAGGTTCAAATGGTAATACAGAAGGACCAGGAAAGACGGACTCCAATAGGAGGAAAAATAACAGAAGGAACAAGAAACGGAGGAGGAATCGGAAAAAGAACAAGAAACCAAACAGGAGGCCGCCCAACGATGAAAGTGCTGGTGAGTTTCTAGTAAACATTTATAGTTCAGCCTCTGGACCAACATTAATCTGAATTGATAGTAAGACAGACAAGTATGATAGTAATTAAGGAGGGAGAAAATGGAGAAATACATTTAAACAACATGACTTTAATCAATCTGTGTTGGAGTCTAATACATGCTACATTTTAAATCTATTAACTCATTCACCCCTGGAATTTCACAATGAACTATTCCAACCTTTAAATTGGAAGAGTTCAAATGTGTCTTCAGGGGTAAAATTTAATAAGGACTTTTCTAAAGGATAATTTTAAAGATATGAGGTATATTTAACCAGATGAATGTAAATGATTTCAGTTAATTGATATCTACCTTTCCTGCTTTCAGCCAAAGACAGACTTGTCCCTCCCACTGCTCCCGAAGTCAGTCAGCTGTCCGATAAATCAGTCAAACTCAACTGGTCAGTCCCAGAAAATGACGGCTTACAGATTGTTTTCTTCCGCGTCCAGTACAAAATCATCAAACCCAAGAAAGGTCAATGGAAAACGGAGGATGAGGAAATTCCGGGAGACAAACGGATGTACGAAGTCTCGAACCTCAAGCCAGGTATGATATGGAACTTTTCTGACTTTTCATAGAATATGATATAGGAGGTTATTTCTGAGAATTTATCGTAGAGAGTCCCTGCACTCTGTGTTTTTATCTCCAATAAAAAAGAGTTCCGGTCATGGATGCTCACCCTTTTACATAGCAAAGAGTTATATGGGGTACAATTAGTTACACTTTCCTTTAAAAGGGAAAAACAAAACAAGGTGTAATTACACTATAGTTCTTGGGCAGAGAAAGATACAAGGCAGAGAAAGATAAAACTTAGTTACAAGTCTTAAGTATACTGTGATCAATTTTAATTCCTAGAACATTTTTATACCATTCATGGGATGGATGAGGTTATGGATTCTCAAAATAAACACTTCTGTGTCAAATATCATAAGTATCCTTCTATTCATATTTCACAAAATGTTTATAAGCATCATGTTATAAATCTGTCATACTTTCTGCATTCGTTTTATTCTGTATAAAGTATGGATACATATCTACGCCTACTCCTTCCAATGTGCCCCGGACTTCCCTGCATAGCCCCTCTTTTGATTATGAATGTTTGTTTCAGAAGCTCAGTACAAGTTTCGCATTGCTGCTGTCTACTCAAATAATGATAACACTGCTGGTCCCAACTCAAAGAAGTTCACTCTGACAGTGAAGAAATTCAAACAGCCCCGCGCTCCCGAGGGCCGGCCGACGATAGTCAAGGTGGAGCCTGTGGAGTATGAACGAGACCAAGAGTCTACAAACAGTGTCCTGGAGTACGGACTCAACGTCAGATGGAAGGTATTACATCGTCATTGTAGCAACACAGTTGTCCCACCACATGTATGACTATATGCTAGAACCGACATTCCACCCTGGCTTGTACCGGAGATGGGGCCCACATGTGATCCAGGGATTGTGAAACATGCTCTCTTTTAGAGAATCTTGTTTAAGTGGTCTTTTTGTGTTGACTTCACTGTGACAAAATAATTTTCTTTTCAAAAGAGTTAAGATCCTGTCAATATATCTGTAATAATAGTAATTTGGTCTCATATTGAAAGCGTCACAAGAATTGATGACAAATTTGAAAGGTACAAAAGAATTGTTGACAAATTGGACGTTACACAAGAATTGATGACATATTTGAAAGTACACAAAATTGTTTACATTGACAACATTCAGGTGAATCTGAATTGTAAGACAATGCTAATGAAGGGAGATAACTAAAACACCAATCATAATGTACAAAGCATCCTACACCCATAAATATATCAAAAGTGTCAGCCATCTATCATTTTGTATAAATGTCTAAAACCTGTATTTCTGTTCTTATTTCAGTATATGCCTGTGAAGACCTCCCAAATAGAAGGCTTTTTCCTCTACTACAAACCGTTCAGTTCCCAAGACGAGTATGAGTCTGTACAAATGATGGAACCGACTGCTCGCACATATCTCCTTTCCCCTCTTCAACCAAATACGGAATACTCCATCAAAATACAGAGTTTCAATGCCGCAGGAAATAGTGATTTTAGCAATGTGGTGGTAAAGAGGACGTTAGGTGGTAAAGGGATTATGATTTTCCCGCCACCGACAGGTGAAGGAAACGGCGGACAATCGCCGACAGATCCTGAGAATCCTGTGAAGGCTGCTCAGCCAAGTTCAGAGGTGGACGGCCCTATACCTACAAACACTAAGTCTAGTAGTGAAATGTTGTACATGATTCTTGGTATCGTGCTCGGCGTCATGATGCTGTTTCTCATCGTATTTATGTTTATGTGCTGGTGGAAACAACGGCAGCAGCGGAGAATGATGGGTAGGTTTTCTATCTCAATTTGTTTTTAGTCAAGGCTGAATTAACCCTTTCACCCCTAAAGTCTCATTTGTGCCTGACTGGGCAAGTTGATTTTGAAATTGTAGGGTGAATGAGTTTAGCTGTTACTCTAGCAATTACTTGTTTGTCTTTCAAATGAAGAGATGACCAGACAACACTAAGTGAGGAGTCGTGGAAAATTTAATCCAGTTTACAGGTTTCAGCCCACAACGTCCTGATACCTTGAAGGTCGTAACATGTAAACTGGATTAAATTTGCAGCGACTCCCCATTTGATGTTGCCTGGTAATACCTTCTTTTGAATTTCAATTACTCCTATGACCAGACTAGTGAATTTGACTCAGGAATCCATCGACTGGGGTACACACAACCTCAACGTTCACCCACTATGTGATGTTTAGTCTCATTTTCCCATCATTAATGTCCTGTGTTTATCTGTTTTACATATTTTAACTTCCTGAAAAAGTTTACTGCAATTTTTATTGCTCACCTTTTCCATGTTTTGCTTATTCTTAGATAGATCAAATCTGATACCAATGTTTTCAATGTTTCTTAATTTTACCACAGATGCCATGAATGATCACATGCGAGTCAGTAAATTTCAAGATTCGGCTCAGCGAATTCATGTGGACAGTTTACGTAAGAAATACTCTGGTGTGAATGGACTGAATGGCTCAGTGGCCAATGGGCATGTGCCGAATTCTTATACAAAAATGAACATTAGTGTGAATCCGCTGACGGATGTGGACCCGCATACGTTCAGTAACGGGTACGGTGGCCACGGGGTGGCAACAACTTACCAGGTAGGTCTAGTAACCTTCAGCTGCTTCATTTCAAAATATTTTATTAAATCAATCAGATTTAATGGGAATCGGGCAACAGGCAAAACCTACAGCGTGTTATGTGAAATCAATGATCCTTTATCTTTCTTTGACTCACATTGGAGCTTTTTCAATATGGACTTAAATTTTAAAGAAAATATTTGGAAAGCAACAGATTGGCCAAATTACAGAAGCAGGAAGAGTGACTTCTGTATTACTGATTGTTCGCTGTGGATTTCACTGTAATTAGATAGATTTGTGTTAAATGATTAAATAATTTAAAAAAATAAGTTAATTAATTAATTGTTGATACTCAGTAGAAATAATTACCATGTATTGGTGGTTTATATTGGATTCACTGACAAAAATATTCATAAATTTTCACTGACATTTCCTGAAATGTTTGTTTTGCTGTTAAATTTTATAAAGAGAGTTGATCATGAATTAAGATTCCTCATGACTGTTTATTCAGAATTATGAAACAAGTGATATCACCTCCTGGTGTTCTTTCCAAGATTTCAAATCCTTGTCAATACATTGCTTGATGGGTTTTAGTGTAAAAAGATAATCACAGAAATCAAGTGTTTTTTTGTTGATTTGCAATGTTTTAAGAAAATCCTACAAATTTTCCTGTCTTTCTATAAGAATAACATGAGTATGATTTTGAAGCATGTATGAATGATGAATACAATGATGTCCTTTTAGAATATTGTTCGATTTGTTTGAATACCTGACTTCATGTTCTGTTTCTCGTCCACAGCCACCCAACAGTTTTATGCCCAACGGGACGATATCAAACCACCCGGGTGGTAGTGACAATAATTTTAATAAAATAAACAGGAGCATGGACAGTTCTCTTCACCGTGGTATGGAGCATGCGGACAACTGTTTGCAACAATCTGGATCCCTAGGGGATGAGGGATGTCCCCTTCAGAGCCCGGACTCTCTGGGGGGCGGGGAAGCACCCGCCTGTCCGCCCTCTCCTCACTCAAGTAATGTACCAAGCTGTTTTGACCAATTTCACTCGGATTCGCCTGGGAGATATTCAAATTCAAATCGATCATGTGACCAGCTGGCTAGGTCATGTGATCAACTTCAAAGTGAGGGTGTTGTGAGGGCTTCGTATGACAGTTCAGCTGTGAATAGTGTGGACGGGGAAAGTGCAGGAAAACAGAAACGGCGGCGGCGGAGAGCTCAGGCGCGGGAACAAATGACCCGCGACCAGGCCACAAACACAGACCTTAGCAGTAACGGTTAGTTTTATTTGTAATACATACCTCCGTAAAAATGTACTTACACCAAAAAGACTTCTCTTAAACATTTTTCTCCTGTATATCTAAACTTCTTAACCCCTGAAATTTCATAATAAACTATTCCAACCTTTGAATTGGAAGGGTTCAAATCTGTCTCCAGGGGTGAATGACTTAATCAGGATTCTTATCATACTTGTGACTGTTCTTTCGAAACTCTTAGATAAAAATACCCCAATATATTAGATGTTTCAGAGCAAAATCAGTTTGTAAGAAAAAAAACAGATGTCATCCTGATTTTAATATCTTATTTAATAATAATAATCATGTAATTTTGTCAAAAATGTTGTGCTAATTGAATTCCTTCTTTGTAATTTCAGAAGGAACGATAGAATTTTCCACGTTCAGTAAAGTGCCGAGTGATACACACAGTCCCGATCATAGTACTGGAGGACACTGTTCACCTGTTCGGACTTATGTTTCTGACCACGGTGCACACCTTGACTGCCCTGATAGGTGTGAGGGTGTTTGACACAAATTTCTCGTCGTGTGAAATGGACACATCTGATGGATTTGTTTGTCAAATTTGTATCAAAACAACTCACCTCAAGTTATCATGTTGTCAAAGTGTGGCATTTAAATAGGTGTTAATTATTATAACAAAATAACGAGAATTTCTTCCTTTTTTTCTTTTCGTTTTGTTGAATTTGAGCCAGAAACGAGGAGGATGTATGGAGCTGACTTTTCTGTACTCATGATTACGTGAACTTCCGACTCTCCCCCCTCGGAAGGATTACGTGAACTTCGGACTCTCCCCCCTCGGAAGGATTACGTGAACTTCGGACTCTCCCCCCTCGGAAGGAATCTTACGGATCCACGGAGGCTAGTTTAGGGTTGAATGAAGGGGAGGATAGAGTTGAACATTGAACAAAATACTCAGGATTTTTTGTTGTTACAAGAGAATTTTCATACAAGTGCATCTTGTTATGATGGTTTGTAATTATATTAATGAGAAACTGCCAAAGGATTTTATTTTTTTCTCTGAGCACCAAAAATAGGTACTTGTGATATTTAATGAAAACAAAGTAGGTTATAATGTTAAATGTAGAATTTAAATTTATTAGACCCACAAATAATAATAATTGTCCGAGTTACTTCCCTTTGAGTAAAGTATCCCAAAGTTGTCATGGTTTTGATGGACGTTCTAAATTGTAAATTATTGGAAAATGTTGCAATTGTTAATTGTCAAATATTGATGAGTTTCTGAGAAATAGAACCTTGGTTAACATGTATTCACTGTTCTAGGCTCACTGCTGTAAGAAATGATTATTTCTGTATGGAAATATTAATCTCTGTGACAGAGCAACTTAACTCAAACAGAATTTGTTATAAGTCGTATATTTCCCAGCATTACCTTTCATACAACTGAATAATTTCTAGTTCTTTTTATGTCTTGAAATAGTTACATCAGGATTAATAAGAAGTTACAATTGCTAATCAAAAAGATGATAGGAGTTTTATAAGTTGAAGTGAAGACAACTTTATTTGATTCGGTGATGTATACAGATACTGTAAAGATTAGACTGAAGGATGGAAAAGTGTTCTTTTTACAACTACAAGCTTTTACAGCTACAAACAATGGCAGATCCAGCCTCCCTTTCAGCCCAAATCGTTACTTTTTTGGTGGGGGTTAGGATGTAGCTTATGGGAGGCCCCTCCCCCACTCTAACCCCCACTCCGACTGATGGGAAAGTTGGGTAGCACATTCTGGAAATTTAGGCCCGTCTTTTCAGAAATTCTGGATCTGCCAGGAACAATAACAGCATTGTCATAGCTTCAAATTGATGATGATGGAGTCACTTAAAAGACAGATTCTCGTTACCATAGTGATTGTTTTACACATTTCGAAATATTTTCACAAATAAACAAATATCAAATTTTTGATTATTTTTTTATCAGTTTTTATAGGAAATGCTGGCAGAGCACTAAGGTTTGTTTTAATCAGACTTTGAATCTGTACTCATTTCAAGCTTAGTAACCATTGAAATTAAGGTTAAAATTTAAGTAATTTTATTGTAATTATTAAAATTGATAACAAAGTACATGTACATGTATACAGGTCCTGAAATTCAAAATGGCTACCTTTAGATATTATTCACAAAGATACCTGTATTCCTACAAATATCTTTCAAAACAATTTTTTTTTTGTAAATTTTAATGAACATATCATTAACAAAGCTTGATTGAATTGGATTTTTGACATTAGAACATTTTTTTTATCCTTCAGGTTTTACCCTTTCGCCCCTAGGTAACTTTAGTTGACTCTACCATACATTTATATGGATGATTCCATTATGGTTCACAGTGGTGAAAGGGTTAATCTTGTAAATCTGTTAATAAGTTGATGTTAGTCTGTGATTGCGTTGTTTTGTATTGAAATCCACTAGCTAATGAGAGTCATGTTAACGACCTATATATCAAATGGAGACATGTGTCTACTGGCTCACGCCTTGTAATCAGCAATATTTGTATATGTAATGTGGCCTGGGAATGATGCCACTTTCCAGCGGCATATCAAGATGCCGCACTAACTGACATCATCTCGGACCATCTTTAAGGGTAAATTACAAACATTTATGAGATATTAATTGATTAATGTGTTTTTGTATTACTGTATCTTTTTGCTCAATGCAAAGAGAATGAAAACACACCATGTTCATTTTTCTTCATTATTTTATTCTGAAAAACGAGAATTTTCACCAAATTTGTTTCTTAAGTTAATTGCCTTGTTATCGCTGTAAATAGAACATTGTTCAGTATTATTGTATATGTCATGATGTTGAGACCTGAACATTATTTTAACTTAATAAGCTATAAATATGAAATGGTATCCATATGTGTCCCAAAAAATCATGTTGTATTTATCGTAATTATGTTACTGCCTAATCGTGTGTTGTATGTCCGTGTAAGTTTAGTAACTGTTCCCGTACAATGGACGGCCGGGAGTGTGTACTCGTGTTTTTAGATGATGAACAGATATTTTGCGAGTCAGAGATATGTGCAAACATCATTTTGAGACAGAAAGTTGGTGTTGACTTAGGTACGGGACGAGGAACTCTCTAGGTAGACATCTTAGTCATCTGGTGGTTAAGTTTTCATGTGATGTAACTTGGTATCAGATTACATCATCAGAGGAAGTTAACCCTTTCACCCCTAGGTAGCTTTAGTAGACTCTACCATACATTGATCTGGATGAGTCCATTATGGTCTACAGTGGTGAAAGGGTTAATTTGTTTAGATTATTATGGGATATCATTACATTGATGATCAATAATGTATCGCGTAACATTTACTGAGAAATTCTGAAGATATTTACTGATGTTACATAAAACGGGTGTCTCAGATGTTCTACACAGAACTTCTCTTCTCTTCCCAAGGTCAACTAAGTGACTGATTTACAATGGTTTATAGTTTCAGTGTACATGTATGTGTGCGTGTTTGTGAGATGGAGAGAGAGAGAAAAGAAGAGAATGGGAAGGAGAAATGTGATAGTATAAACTCTAAATTCAACCAAAGGAAATATAATTGATAACACTCTTTTGATGACTTTAACTCAAAGATTCACAGTAAAAACGGGCGTCTATACTGATATGGGTCACAGCACATCGACGTACAAGATCGTTATTATTATAGCATTGTGTTTAGGTGTGCTGTGACCCATATCAGTAAAGCATTTGTGTATTTGAGACATTTGTAACAAACTCCTGTGGCTGAACCTACAAAAAATGACTGCAATATTATGAGAATTTTTAAAGAATAGAATATATATGTAAATCCACTGGAAGATATGGGGGCCTACAGGATATACTCATTCACCCCTGCAGACATTTAAACTCTTCCAATTCAAAGGTTGGAATAGTCCATTATAAAATTTCAGGGTTGAATGAATTAAACTGCCTACAATTTAGTGTTTGAATTTGATAGGGGGTTGAATTGTGCATGTGATATGATTGTAATAGTGCTAGTTATAGGTAACTGAAAAATAGGACGAGGTTGTCAATTCACGGGAGAATGGGACGAGTGAGTTTAAGGTATGCTAATTGGTAATGTGAGATGATAGGTAGTGGATGATTGAGGTACAATGAGTGATGATGAGAGACTAGATGAGTGATGATGAGAGACTAGATGAGTGAGGATGAGAGACTAGATGAGTGAGGATGAGAGACTAGATGTGTAATTGGTGCAATGCTACATGTGATAAATTTACACCTTCCAGCCTGTCAGTCTCTTCCTTAGCCTCAACCATATCAACCAATCACAGGTTATTTTGTGAGGGCATGCAGTATCAACCAATCACAGTTTACTTTGTTAAGGGTATTTTCTGTTCCACTTGTCTGTGTACTGATTACTCTAAGATTACTCAAAAAATATTTAACATAATTCAGGACTCTTTCCTTATTTCTAATATAGAGTTGCTTTGATCAACCAATCACAGTTCACTTCGTTAGGACAAACAGTATCAACCAATCACATTATACTTTGTTAGGACAAACAGTATCAACCAATCACAAGATCGAAAAATGTTTATCAAAAATAAAGTGCAGTAGATATAGATATGGAACAATATTCACATTTCTTCAGATGGAAAAATTGATGTACATGTAATAAAGTAATAATTTGTAGTGAAATGAATATCAGCAATATATTGGTTTCCCCACCTTGAAGGTAAGACAGAAAAATCTCAACCCTAGGAGTAAGATCCTTGCCAGAGGCTTTGCTGAGGGCCAGACATTTAACCCTTTCACCCCTATGTAACTTCAATAAACTCTACCATGCATTAATCTGGGTAAGTCCATTATCGTCTACAGTGGTGAAAGGGTTAAGAATCTTACCCCGAGGGTTGAGATTATTCTGTCTTACTCCAAAAGTGGGGAATGATTATTTTCTCCCACATCAAATAGCAATTTCATGAAATGCAAACGTTTATCTTAAAATTTCCAGCAGATCCCAGTTATCTTCCAAGATCTGCTATTGTTGACAGGACGTCAATGTATTGTTGACGTGACGTCATACAATTGTTATGACATGGGAATCCCCGGTCTTTACCGTCGGTTTAGACCGAGATACCTTTCCCCTGACCAGAAGTTTGGATATCTCTGTCTAATAGGGAGAGAAATGTATTTCCTCTATTCTGTTTTCTGTGTATGAGAACTCTGGTGTAGAAGACGTGGAGCGTGTGTTGGTTGAAGGTTGAGACTAAGGGAGGTATGAATACTGGAGAAACTTATGTCATTTTCATTTGTGTTCATTTATGTCCTTTATGGCCAGGAGTTTAAACAGTCGTCATTGTAAATAAAAACAAAGTAAAAATTAAATTACAACAATGATATTGCTTTGTGTTTGTTCTCTTTTTGGAATAATTCTCAGGTTCAAATAATAATCCTCTGTTGGTATAACAAGGGGAGACGAGACGTAGAAATTAGGTCCATTAGATGAGTGTGGACCAATCGCAATCGGACATATTTTATGAAAGGTAGATTTACATCGCAGTTGTCAACGATGACACAGAACACGCTTACTCTCTCGGAATACCTGGTCTTATTGTCTTTGTATTTTTTCAAAGATATCTATGAGATAATTAACCACCTTATTACATCAAACAGTTTCTAGAAATACGAACGAAGAAAAAAGGACAAACGTTTCAGTGCACCATATGATCATATTTGCGCTTTTATGACTCTTCAATGCTATTAAAGGTCTAAAGACAAATGTAACAAACCATTCTGTGGATAAGACAGTCTTATACAAATTTGGTAAATCTATTTCAGCATTGAAAAGAGTAAAAATGTAATCAATTTCACATGTACGGTAAGATGTTTCAGAGTTCAAAATGATTAAAACTGTCAAGATCGGCAATGACCGACATATACAACGTTTCTGAGATCGCAAATGATCCAATGGCCGACACATACGACGTTTCTGAGATCGCTAATGATCCAATTGCCGACATATACAACGTTTCTGATATCGCTAATGATCCAATGGCCGACATATACAACGTTTCTCATATCGCAAATGATCCAATGGCCGACATATGCAACGTTTCTGATATCGCAAATGATCCAATGGCCGACAAATACAACGTTTCTGAGATAGCAAATGATCCAATGGCCGCCACATACAACGTTTCTGAGATCGCTAATGATCCAATTGCCGACATATACAACGTTTCTGATATCGCAATTGACCCAATGGCCGACATATACAACGTTTCTCATATCGCAAATGATCCAATGGCCGACACATACGACGTTTCTGAGATCGCTAATGATCCAATTGCCGACATATACAACGTTTCTGATATCGCAAATGATCCAATGGCCGACATATACAATGTTTCTGATATCGCAAATGATCCAATGGCCGACATATACAACGTTTCTGATATCGCAAATGATCCAATGGCCGACATATGCAACGTTTCTGATATCGCAAATGATCCAATGGCCGACATATACAACGTTTCTGAGATCGCAAATGATCCAATGGCCGACATATACAACGTTTCTGATATCGCAAATGATCCAATGGCCGACACATACAACGTTTTGAGATCGCAAATGATCCAATGGCCGACATATACAACGTTTCTGAGATCGCAAATGGCCAATTTCCCTACATTTTTTAGAAGCTTGCCATTTCAGAATGTAAATTTCCGTGGGTTCTTGGTGTCTCTCCTTCTGTATCTGGTGTCTCATCGGTTCTTTGTTATCGATCCAACTCTTAAAATTCAATTTGTCCTCGTGTATTGTCGCGGTAGTGTTTCATTACGTTAAACTCTAGGACTTATAAACAACACGGACATTACGTGGAAACGAACAGTAATTTAATTTCTAAGTAATTTTATAGTAAACAAAAAATACGAAGTACACGGATACATTTGCACACATTCCAGGCACATTTAAATCCTTTTTCACGCTCGGAGCACCACAATGCCTTTTTCATGCTCGGAGCACCACAATGCCTTTCTTCTCTTTTCTTATGACATATTTTTGCACTATCATGTATCATGTACAATGTCAGTGTAGGATTTCAAGAATATTTACAATGCTCTTTGTAATTTAACACTGATAGTAATAGTAATAAAAAATATCATACAATAGGCTAGCTCCTGTCTCAGTATATAGGGGCCGTTTACAACGTACGAGACATGGGATCATATATAACACAGGAAATGAGGGTGGCTGGATTATATATTGGAAATGTGGGCTGTTGGATTATCTACTGGGAATAAGGGTGGCTGGATTATCTCCTAGGAATAAGGGTGGCTGGATTATCTACTGGGAAAGAGGGTGGCTGGATTATCTACTTCGAATGATGGTGGCTGGATATCTACTGAGAATAAGGGTAGCTGGATTATTTACTGGGAATGAGGGTGGCTGGATTATCTACTGGGAACAAGGGTTGCTGGATTATCTACTGGGAATGAGGATGGCTGGATTATATACTGGGAATGAGGGTGGCTGGATTATCTACTGGAAATGAGGGTGGCTGGATTATTTACTGGGAATGAGGGTGGCTGGATTATTTACTTGGAATGAGAGTGGCTGGATTATCTACTGCGAATAAGGGTGGCTGGATTATTTACTGGGAATAAGGGTGGCTGGATAATCTACTGGGAATGAGAATGGCTGGATTATCTACTGGGGATGAGGGTGGCTGGATTATCTACTGGAGATGAGGGTGGCTTGAGAATCTACTGGAAATGAGGATGGCTGGATTATATATTGGAAATGTGGGCTGTTGGATTATCTACTGGGACTGAGGATGGCTGGATTATCTACTGGGGATAAGGATGGCTGGATTGTCTACTGGGAATGAGGGTGGCTGGATTATCTACTGAGAATAAGGGTGGCTGGATTATTTACTGGTAATGATGGTGGCTGGATTATTTACTTGGAATGAGAGTGGCTGGATTATCTACTGCGAATAAGGGTGGCTGGATTATTTACTGGGAATAAGGGTGGCTGGATAATCTACTGGGAATGAGAATGGCTGGATTATCTACTGGGGATGAGGGTGGCTGGGTTATCTACTGGAAATGAGGGTGGCTTGAGAATCTACTGTAAATGAGGATGGCTGGATTATATATTGGAAATGTGGGCTGTTGGATTATCTACTGGGAATGAGGGTGGCTGGATTATCTACTGGAAATGAGGGTGGCTTGAGAATCTACTGGAAATGAGGATGGCTGGATTATATATTGGAAATGTGGGCTGTTGGATTATCTACTGGGAATGAGGATGGCTGGATTATCTACTGGGGATAAGGATGGCTGGATGGTCTACTGGGAATGAGGGTGGCTGGATTGTCTATCATATATAACACAGGAAATGAGGGTGGCTGGATTATCTCCTAGGAATAAGGGTGGCTGGATAATTTACTGGGAATGAGAATGGCTGGGTTATCTACTGGAAATGAGGTAGGCTTGAGAATCTACTGGAAATGAGGATGGCGGGATTTTCTTTTGGAAATGTGGGCTGTTGGATTATCTACTGGGACTGAGGATGGCTGGATTATCTAAAGGAAATAAGTTTGGCTGGATTATCTACTGGAGATGAGGGTGGCTTGAGAATATACTGGAAATGAGGATGGCGGGATTTTCTTTTGGAAATGTGGGCTGTTGGATTATCTACTGGGACTGAGGATGGCTGGATTATCTATTAGAAATAAGGGTGGCTGGATTATTTACTGGGGATGAGGGTGGCTGGATTATCTCCTAGGAATAAGGGTGGCTGGATAATCTACTGGAAATGAGAATGGCTGGATTATCTACTTGGGATGAGGGTGGCTGGATTATATATTGGAAATGTGGGCTGTTGGATTATCTATTGGGAATGTGGGTGGCTGGATTATCTATCATATATAACACAGGAAATGAGGGTGGCTGGATTGTCTACTGGGAATGAAGGTGACTGGATTATCTACTGGAAAGGAGGGTGGCTGGATTATCTCCTAGGAATAAGGGTGGCTGGATAATCTACTGGAAATGAGAATGGCTGGATTATCTCCTGGGGATGAGGGGGGCTGGATTATCTACTGGAGATGAGGGTGGCTTGAGAATCTACTGTAAATGAGGATGGCTGGATTATCTACTGGAGATGAGGGTGGCTTGAGAATCTTCTGGAAATGAGGATGGCTGAATTATCTACTGGAAATGAGGATGGCGGGATTTTCTTTTGGAAATGTGGGCTGTTGGATTATCTATTGGGAATGTGGGTGGCTGGATTATCTACTTGGAATGAGGGTGGCTGGATTATCTACTGGGAATAAGGGTGGTTGGATTATTTACTGGGAATAAGGTTGGCTGGATAATCTACTGGGAATGAGAATGGCTGGATTATCTACTGGGGATGAGGGTGGCTGGATTATCTACTGGAAATGAGGGTGGCTTGAGAATCTACTGGAAATGAGGATGGCTGTATTATATATTGGAAATGTGGGCTGTTGGATTATCTACTGGGAATGAGGATGGCTGGATTATCTACTGGTGATAAGGATGGCTGGATGGTCTACTGGGAATGAGGGTGGCTGGATTATTTACTGGGAATAAGGGTGTATGGATTATCTACTGGAAATGAGGGTTGCTGGATTATATACTGGAAATGTTGGTGACTGAATTATCTACTGGACATGTGGGTGGCTGGATTAGCTACTGGGAATCTTCGAATGATGGTGGCTGGATATCTACTGAGAATAAGGGTGGCTGGATTATCTACTTGTGATAAGGATGGCTGGATGGTCTACTGGGGATGAGGGTGGCTGGATTTATCAACTGGAAATGTGGGAGGCTGGATTATCTACTGGGGATGAGGATGGCTGGATTATTGGGCGGCTGGATTATCTACTGGGAATGAGGATGGCTGGATTTATCAACTGGAAATGTGGGTGGCTGGATTATCTACTGGAAATGTGGGTGGCTGGATTATCTATTAGAAATAAGGGTGGCTGGATTATCTACTGGAAATGTGGGTCTCTGGAAAATCTACTGGAAATAAGGATGGGTGGATTATCTACAGGAAATAAGTTTGGCTGGATTATCTACTGGAAATGAGGGTGGCTGGATTATCTACTAGGAATGAGGGTGGCTGGATTGTCTACTGGGAATGAAGGTGACTGGATTATCTACTGGAAATGTGGGGGGCTGGATTATCTACTGGAGATGTGGGGGGCTGGATTATCTACTAGAAATGTTGGCGGCTGGATTATCTACTGGGAATGTGGGGGGCTGGATTATCTACTGGAGATGTGGGTGGCTGTATTATCTACCGGAAATGTGGGTGGCTGGATTATCTACCGGAAATGTGGGGGGCTGGGGGATCTACTGGG